GGGTGTGTATGAGATCCTTGACTGGAAAAAAATGCATAATATTCTTCATGATGTGAGCTAGAAATAAATATGCAGCTGGGGGAGTCCTGACCCTCCCCTGTCTACTAGGTCAGGGTTTCTCTGGAGCTATGAGTGCTGCCAGCTGGATGCTCACTGTGCTCCTACAAGGGTGGCCCTTGTGTTGAGTGAGCTACACGTGTGACTATTGTGCCCTGACTTGTGCTTCTGCACTGGCTTCGTTCTTGGGCTGATCCTGAGGGAAGGAGTCCCTCTCCAGAGGGTAGTTGCTGCAGCCTGCAATGAGCTGTACCTCTTGGCCAGCTTCCAGTGCTCTGCCTGTGCCAGCTACAGCAGGTAGAGGTACTCCCACAGTGGTGCAGGTGAATTAAGGGCAAGATAAGAATGTTGGGTTGGACCTTATCTGCCATCGCAATGACCAGCTCAGCTTTCTGACACATCTGCAACATCAGGGAGCTCTGCCTTCTGTGGGTGGCTGAGCAAGGGTTGGCCTGAGGATGTTGTAGGCACTTAGGGGATCTCCTGAATGTCCTGCTCAGCTCCTGTCTTTCCTCCTTTGTTTTCAGCTGTGGCATGTGGTGCTTCCACATGGTCCCATTTGTGATGTAGCGATGGAGGTGCTGGCCAAAGTGATGATGGGGGCAGGAGAAGTGCTGTCTTGTGTCCTAAGGACCAGAGTTTATATATACTAGAACTTCTACTGGAAGATGTCAAAATATCCCTGCAATTTGTTAGGACAGCCCTAGACCCAACAGCAACAAAGCTGGTGAAGGGTCTGGAGCACAAGTCATACGAGGAATGGCTTTGGGGGCTCAGCCTGGAGAAAAGGAGGCTCAGGGGAGACCTTCTTGTTCTCTACAACTCCCTGAAAGGAGGTTGTAGCCAGGTGGGGTTTGGTGTCTTCTTCCAGGTAACAAGTGACAGGACAGGAAATGGCCTCAAGCTACACCAGTGGAGGTTTATATTGGATATTAGGATGTTTCTTGTCATGGAAGGGGTTGTAAAGCACTCAAACACACTGCTCAGGGAAGTGGTGGAGTCACCATCCCTGGAAATGCTCAGAAATCATGTGGATGTGGCACTTGAGGACATGGTTTAGTACTGAACACGGTGGTGGTCCTGAGTTGACAGTTGGACTTAATGATCTTGAAGGTCTTTTCCAACCTTAGTGACTCTATAAATCCAGGATTCTATGTTTGTAAATGTTGTTTGCCTAATATATTTTCTACTATTCATGCAGTGGTTCTGTTCCCAACAAAAACCAGCAGTGTCTGAGGTCCCCCAGACACCACATATTTACCAGTCACGAGAGGAGAGGATGCTCCCTGATCACCCAATTTCTGTCAGCAGTCACACACAACCTTTGATGTACGTGGGCAAGCACAGCATTTCCCTTCCAGGGCCAAATACTTCAGGAAGAGCTGAGGTTACTTTCTGGGATGCTCTGCCTCGAGCAGCAATAATTCGTGCAGCAAAGAGCACTGATGTTTCCTGATTTCCAACAGGAAAATGGTGGACTTGATTGTCTCAGAGGTCCCATCTCTATTCAAGAAGAGCAGCAAGGAAAAGCCTCCTGCTTCTGCCTGCAACCTGCCTTCACATAGGAGGAGAGCATCTTGTCCCACCAGGGTGGTTGATGAAACACTAGTTTCCTTTGGAAACCAGCCCAGGAGACACTTCCAAGTAGTTGAGTCAAGCTTGGTCCTAAAGACACCCAAGATCTTGGTGTCTCCCAGTTGGTCAACCTCATGGCAGGGTTCAGTAGGAGGCAAGACCAAAAGCAGAGTTAGGATTTGGTTTCTCAGCCTCAGTAGAAGGTTTGGAGTGATGTCTTTATGTTTTCCTCATTTCCTGGATGAGGTAAGGCAGAGTAGGCTGAACACTGAGGTCATGCAGACGGGGCCAAACAGCAGATTTCCAAGGGAAGAAGAGAGTGTGGCAGTGGCCTCATTAACCGTCTGTCAGGCAGAGGTGGCACAGCTCTTCAGAGACTACCAGGGCATTTATTGCCCTGCTTGGAGCCTCATTTGGGGCTGAATTGTAGGTGAGAAGTTGTCCTTCACGTAACTGTATCCCTAAGTACCACATCTACACTTCAGCTCTGGCTCCCTAAGCCATGTCCTGCCTAGTGGATGATTCTCCCCCTCCACTCTGCTCTGGTGAGGCCTCACCTGGAGTACTGCACACGGCTCTGGTGTCCCCAGCATCAGAAGGACATGGAACTGCTGGAGCAAGTCCAGAGGAGGTCACAAAGCTGATCAGTGGATTGGAGCACCTTCCCTACGAGGACAGGCTGAGAGAGTTGGGTCTGTTCAGCCTGGAGAAGAGAAGGTTGTGTGGAGACCGTAGAGCAACCTGCCAGGAGCTGAAGGGGCTCCAGGGAAGCTGCAGAGGGACTCTGTGTTAGGAGCTACAGTGACAGGACAAGGAGTCGTGGGGATCAGTTGCAAGAGGGAAATTGATATTAGGTATTAGTAAGAATATTTTTGCTGTGAGGGTGGTGAGACACTGGCACAGGTTGCCCAGGGAGGCTGTGGCTGCCCCAACCCTGGCAGTGTTCAAAGCCAGGTTGGCTAAAGTCTTGAGCAACCTGTTCTGGTGGGAGGGGTGTCTGCCCAGGGCAGGGGGTTGGCACTGGATCATCTCTAAGCTCTATTCCGACCCCTTGACATATTGTGAAACTATGATTAGGTGGGAAGTTGGCGTTTCCCACTGAACAGCCCATTCCCAGCCCAGCAAGCTTCCAGCCCAGCCATCTGGTTGCTCAGGGTTAGGAAGGATTATGAACAGAGCATAAAACTCTGGGGTTTCAATGCTGTCTGGAGCTGCTGGCAGGTAGGAGAGCTCTGACAATGCTGCTGAATTACACAAATACCTTCAGTGATGCTTCCCCAAGCTGCAAAAGATGCCAGTGTGCAAAAATAAAAGCTCTGAGATGCACACACAGCTCAGATTTATGGGCTAGCAACATGTACTTATACCAGTCTTGTTACATCAGCCGCACAGGAATGTGTGAGATCCTGCATTTTCCCCTAGCATGGACCTCAGGAGGTTCATCTTCTGCAGGATAGAGCCAGCAGGTCAACCTTTTGCCAACACAAGCCAGGTGTGTCCCTGGAGTCCCTGCTGATGCCAAGGAGAGATTTGAAGGTGCAGGTTCATTTCTCCACGGAGAACTATCAGTTTGTCTCTTGTGGCTCGCAAACAAATTGCCAAAAACCTGTTTTATGTTCTTTGGAGAGCTACACCTGAGGAGCATGTAACCTCCAGACTGGAGTTACACACAGCAAGGAATGCTTGGGGGCAGGGCTGAGTGCTACATCTGTTGGGAAGGTGAGTTTGGGCTCTTGTGCTCTGCTGAGGGTCCTTGAGCAGGTGACATAGTTTCAGTGCAATGCCAGGGCTCAAGCAGGAGTAAACAGCAGAAACACACCCATGTGTCTGGGGAAAAGGGATTTTTGTCAGCTGAATCTTCTGTGTGTGCTCATTTAACCTCCCTGACTCCCCGAGGTGAAAGTTAAATTCAGAATGTTCAACTTTTTGACAACCCCCTGCAAAAACCACAAAAATCCAACAAAAGAGAACAAACCATAAAAGCCAAATCTTGAGCTACTTATCCTTTATTCTCTGAGTCACAGCTGTGTAGTGTTCACTCACTTATTCAGGTGCAGCTCTAGAGAGAGTTTGGGTTTTTCATAGAATTGCAGACTGGTTTGGGTTGGAAGGACCTTAAAGACCATCTCCTTCCACCCTCTGCCATGGGCAGGGACACCTTCCACCAGCCCAGGTTGCTCCAAGCCCCATTCAACCTGGCCCTGAACACTTCCAGGGATGGAGCAGCCACAGCTGCTCTGGGTAACCTGTGCCAGTGCCTCACTACCCTCACAGGAAAGAATTCCTTCCCAATATCCCATCTGTCCCTGCTCTCTGGCAGTGGGAAGCCATTCCCTGTGTCCTATCAATCCAGGCCCTTATCCAAAGTCACTCTCAATTGGGAACATAATACTTGCAATTAATAAGGTCTTGTAGATATTTTATGTGCAAAATTCTTTGTCAAAGGACCATCACTGGAGCTGTAGAGCACACACTGGCTGGTTTCCTTGTGGAAGTCTAACAGAGAGGCTGCAGTGGGTAGGAAGCACCAAAGTTCAGGCCACTGTCTCAGCACTGTGCTGGTCCCTTGTTTGCTCTGGGAAGTGCTTATGTACCTGTCAGGTGTTGCTTTCTCTGCCTACCGTCCCATCGTGTTCCCTGGCTGGGCCCTGCTGTGTCTCAGCTCAGCCCTGCCCCAGCTGCAGTTGTTAGCAGCTGAGTTATGTTAAACATGGCAAGTAAATTAGCACCTTAAGTTGCTCTGGTTTTGCAAGCAGGATTAAAATAATAGGTGAGTCTGTCTGTGTTTGAAAATGTAAAAAAGGCAGGGAGTGTGCTGCCTGTGTCTGTGCCTGGACTCTGTGTCCTCCCTTCCCTGCTGCCCGCGGCGGTATCAGTCACCTGGCAGCACTGCTGCAGCACAGCCAGTCACCTTCTCCAGTGTGAAGGCATCACCACGAGCAGCAATGAGCAGAGGCAAAGAGTCTTCAGAAAACAAGTCTGTGCTGTTGTGAGAGAGATCCAACTTACACCAAAGCACCAAAGAAGTCTTTGCTGTTGAGACAGAAATCCAACCAAAGCATCCAAGTCTGCTGCAATGGCTCCTGCAGATTGTTAATGAATTTGCATTTATCTCTTAGGATCATAGTATATGAAGGGGTTGGGATGGAGCTTAGAGATTATCCTGTCCCAACCCCCTGCCCTGGGCAGGGACACCTCCCACCAGAACAGGTTGCTCAAGGCTTTATTCAACCTGGCTTTGAACACTGCCAGGGTTGGGTCATCCACTCCCTCCTTCGCTCCTGTATATTAGTACAAGCAGAGCTTTTCTTTTGTACTGAGGGCACCAAAGGTAACAAAAGTGCTTTGTTTTGCTTTGTTTCCACCAGGGATCAACCAATGTGGTGTACCAAGCCCACCATGTCAGCAGGAGTAAGAGAGGACAAGTCGTGGGCACCAGAGGTGGATTTCGAGGCTGCACAGTTTGGCTAACAGGTATTTTCATCTGGGAGTGAAAGTGTAGCTTCACCTGTGAAACTCCTTAGCACACATGAGTATGGCTTAGAGGTGGGGATTTGGTATCCACAGGAAGCATCAGCATTCCTTGTGAAGTGGGAATTGCAGAGCATTGCCACGTGAGAAGCACAGACATGTGGTGCTGGTGCAGCAACATATTCTCCTTGGCAGCTGCTGCACACAACTGATGTTTTTATGAATTTCACAGCTGTTATCAAGCTCCTTTGAATACGTCAGAGCCCTAAGGGTAGCACTTGTTGTTCCCAAGTGTGTAGCTGAGGAAGCCTTGGCTCCAATCCAGCCAGTCCTTGGCAGGGAAATGTGCCCAGGGTTGTCCAAAAGAGGAGCATGAGGATGTTTTCATTCTGGGACAGTAGGAAGTGTATTGGGACATGGAGGTTTGCTGTGTTTAAGACAGCACAAGGCACTCACCTTGTCTAGAGAATAAATACTCCCAGGCAGCAAGTTGCACTGGAAGCAATTCACAGAATCACAGAATAATCAGAGCTGGAAGGGACCCTTGAGGATCATCTAGTCCAACTCCTGGCCCTGCACAGGACATCCCTAAGAATCCCACCATGTGCCTGAGAGCATTGTCCAAACACTCCTAGAGCTCTGTCAGGTTTGAGGCTGTGACCACTGCCCTGGGGAGCTGTTCAGTGCCCAAACACCCTCTGGCGGAAGAACCTTGTCTTAATATCTAGCTTAAACCTCCCCTGACACAACTTCAGACTATTCCCTCAGGTCCTGTCGCTGGTCACAGAGAGAAGAGGTCAGTGCTGCCTTTCCACTTCCTTCCCTGAGGAAGTTGTATCCATTGATGAGGTCTCCCTTCAGTCTTCTCTTCTCCAGCTGAACAGACCAAGTTTAGCCTCAGTCACTCCTCACGTGGCTTCCCCTCAAGGCCCTTCACCATCTTTGTTGCCTCCTTTGGACACTCTCTAATAACTTAATATCTTTCTTATATTATAAATTCCTTGCACTTGTTTTATTGCTCTTCTCGTGCTTTGAAATATAAACTCCTTGTTTAGATTTAGGGATCATTGTTTAGATTAGGGATTAGAGGCTGCAGGAAATGGCAATTGTGTTTCTCACTTCTAATGTTTAGACAGCTCTGTCTTTTGCCACTTGTCCTATTGTTCCTTTGCTTGCTAAATATTGGCATTTGCTTTGATAGCTGAAAGATGTTGAAGAACATGCTTGGAAGGGTTTGTAAAGTCGTTCTGCTTTGCCTTCCTGTCAACTTCGGTGGTAGATGTTGGTTGAGAACACGTTTGTGGTTTGTTCTCCTCTTCAATTTTGAGACACCCAATCTGCTTTGATGGCATTTCTGAAGCCAAAAACCCCCAACCCTATCAAAGGCAATTTGCTTGTTCTTCAAATATCCCATAAAAATCTTGTGTCTGAAAGGTTTGAGCTTCTCTGGCTGAGGATTATTCTTTGAAATGTGCACGTGGAGGAGGAGGTGTCTGCGGGTGCAGAGGGACCATTGCTGCTGGAGGTGGTTGCAGCAAGAACCTCTTCTTGGGTTCAGTCTGAGAGAGCAGTTGGCTCTTCACTGTGGGAACAGGAGGAGGAAGAGGAAGATCCTTTCAGAGTTCCTCCACTTACTGGTACCTGTGGGACTAGTAAGTGGGTGGGACTTCTGCAACACTGCTGGGTCAAACCCCTCCAGATGTTGGGATATAGCAGCTCTTCTCGTGGCATTGATGGCAACCCTTCAATAAGGAGGGTTGACTCAGGTGTGCTAAAAAGATGACTCCAACTTCCCTATTTCATTCCTTCCTAAAGCAACTTCAGACAGAAGGAGTTTCCCTGCCAGTGTCCCAGGAGGTATAGAATCACAGAATCATCAAGTTTGGAGAAAACCTCTGACATCATTGAGTCCAATCATTAATTGCCACTCTGCTGTAACCCCTAAACCCTAAACTGTATCTTCCAGTGCCAGATCCAGACACTTCTTGAACACCTTCAGGGACGGTGGCTCTACCACCTCCCTGGGCAATATTCCAGTGCCTGAACATCCTCACAGGGAAAAAACATTTCTCCTCACATCTCTGACTCTCCTCTGTCTCGGCTCATGGCCATTCTCTCTAGTTCCCTCCCTGCAGCCATGGTATTGCATTGCACTGTTGTTTTCACTCTTTTGGCCTCAAACCTTCTCACGTTTCCATCTCCAACAGGCCTTTCTGGAGCTGGCAAGACAACTATTGGCTTTGCTCTGGAAGAGTACTTGGTGGCTCATGGCATCCCTTGCTATTCCCTGGATGGTGACAACGTTCGGCATGGCCTGAACAAGAACCTGGGCTTCTCAGCTGAGGATCGTGAGGAGAACATCCGCCGCATCGCCGAGGTGGCCAGGCTGTTCGCCGATGCTGGCCTTGTCTGCATAACCAGCTTCATCTCTCCTTTCACAAAGGTAAACTCCCTGCAGTACAGCCTACTCTCTTCTCAGCCTGAGCTCATGATTGAGATACAAGAAGGACATGGAACTGTTGGTGCAAGTCTAGAAGAGGCCATGAAGCTGATTAGAGGACTGGAGCATCTTCCCCATGGGGACAGGCTGAGAGAGTTGGGTCTGTTCAGCCTGGAGAAGAGAAGGTTGTGTGGAGACCTCAGAGCAACCTGCCAGGATCTGAAGGGGCTCCAGGGAAGCTGCAGAGGGACTCTGTGTTAGGAACTGCAGTGACAGGACAAGGGGCAATGGGGATAAATTGAAAGAGGGAAATTTAGATTAGACAGCAGGAAGAAGTTTTTGCTGTGAGGGTGGTGAGACAGTGGCACAGGTTGCCCAGGGAGGCTGTGGCTGCCCCAGCCCTGGCAGTGTTCAAAGCCAGGTTGGCTAAAGCCTTGAGCAACCTGTTCTGGTGGGAGGTGTTGCTGCCCAGAGCAGGGGTTGGGTCTGGATGATCTCTAAGCTCCATCCCAACCCCTTAACATACTATGTTACTACTGCTTTTAAGGAAAAGAGAATTTACATAGAGGACTTCCTAAATATGCCATCAGATGCTTCTATTCACTTCTCTCTCCTTTTGTAAAACACCAGTGATGAACAACTGCATGAAATCTGTATCAATTTCTGGAGGGCAAAGACCTCCTTGAATATATTCAGTGTTATAAATTGATGCAAAGCTAAGAGCAGTTTAACATCTCCCTTCACAGGCTCCTACTATTACTTCCTTAGGAGGCATAGAAGCCATAGCCTGTCCTAGGGCTATCACTACTCTTTTGGCAGAAGTGTTGTTTGTGGGTTTTGCTTCCTGAGAAGCCCAAGTAGCTGCTGTTATCAAGCTGACACAACCAGTTCCTTTTTTCAGAGAATCACAGAATCACTGATGTTAGAAGAGACCTCTAAGGTCATCAAGTCCAGCTCTTTTGACATAGGACAGATAATTATTCACATTCTAAAGTTCTGCTTAACAAAAAGATCTTGAGGTTTTGGATGGAAAAAGCTGAAAACAGATGCAAGTCATAGATTTTAAGTATTTTGGAGAAAAGGAGGTGTAAATTAGTGTAAATTTAATACATTTATAACAGAGATGAATTAATCTGTGTTGAATTCCAGGGCACATCATGTAGTAGGAAGGTGCTTGCTGCAATTCATAGGCTTTTCCCATCGTTCTCCTAACAGGATCGTGAAAATGCAAGGAAAATTCATGAGGCAGCAGGGCTTCCCTTCTTTGAGGTCTTTGTGGATGCTCCTCTGAATATCTGTGAAAGCAGAGATGTGAAGGGCCTGTACAAAAAGGCAAGAGCTGGAGAGATCAAAGGTATGGAGGAGTGAGCCCTTATTTTGCCTTTCCTCTCCAAAGCATTGGATACCTTGTCCTGGCAGTGCTGCATGTGGATGTGTGTTTCCAAAGGCTCTTTGTCGTGCATAAGAGAATCCTGCTCCCCTAACCTTGTCCTACCCAGCATGGTTGAATGCCCTGTGGTTGGTAGAGCATTGTTGGCTCAGAGCACAAAGTAGGAACTTTGTTAGGAGCTGCAGTGACAGGACAAGGAGTAATGGAGATAAATTGATAGAGGGAAATTTAAATTAGGGATAAGAAAGAAGTTTTTTCCTGTGAGGGTGGTGAGATACTGGCACAGGTTGCCCAGGGAGGCTGTGGCTGCCCCAACCCTGGCAGTGTTCAGAGCCAGGTTGGCTAAAGCCTTGAGCAACCTGTTCTGGTGGGAGGTGTCTCTGCCCAGGGTAGGGGGTTGGCACTGGATGATCTCTAAGCTCCATTCCCAACCCTTAACAATCTATGAATCTCTGAGTATTATATTAAATGACGCTAATTTGGGATTTAATTGTCCACAGGATTCACTGGGATTGACTCAGAGTATGAGAAACCTGAAGCTCCTGAGTTAGTGTTGAAAACAAATGTTGCATCGGTGTCTGAATGTATCCAGCAGCTTGTGGAGCTCCTCGAAGCACAGGCAAGTAAATTTTATTCCACCCTTGTAAATCTGTTTTGGGGTACTGACTCTTTGGTTTGTGTTTTAACCAGCATATTACTGACAATGGTGCTCGTTTCTCTCTCTCCCAGAACATCGTGCCCCATGGCTCAGTTAAGGATGTTCTCGAGCTGTTTGTACCTGAAAATAAACTGAGCAGTGTCCGAGCTGAGGCAGAGAAGCTGCCAGCTGTGGAGATCACTAAGGTATCACAGAGTCACAGACTGGGTCAGGTTGGAAGGGACCACAATATGTCATCTGGTACCACCTCCCTGCTCAAGCAGGGCCAGCCCAGAGCACATGGCTCAGGATTGCGTCCAGAGAGTTCTGGAATACCTCCAGTGAGGGAGATGCCACAACCTCTCTGGGCAGTCTATTTAGTGCTCAGTGACTGCACAGGAAAGAAGTTTTTTCATCTTCTTGGCACCCTCCCATCAGATATTTGCATATATTAATGAGGTCTTTCTCAGTCGTCTCTTCTGGAAACTGAACAGCCCCAACTCCCTCAGCCTTTCCTCATCAGGGAGGTGCTCCACTCCCTTCGGCATCTTCCTTGGCCTCCCCTGGACCTCCTCCAGGAGCTCCATGTCCCTCTGGTCCTGAGGAGCCCAGAACTGGACACAGCACTCCAGATGTGCCTCACAAGGGCTGAGCAGAGGGTCAGAATCCCCTCCCTGACCTGCTGGCAATGCTCTTCTTAATGCATCCCAGGATTCCATTGGATTCCTCTATCAGAGAGCAGGGTTAGATTAAATGTTAGAAAGAAATTTTTCCCTGCAAGGGTGCTGAGGTACTGATAGTTTTCCCAGTGAAGTCGTGTCTGCTCCATCCAAGAAGTGTTCCAGGCCAGGTTGGATGGGGCTTGGAGCAACCTGGGCTAGTGGAAGGTGTTCCTGCCCATGGCAGGGGGTTGGAATGGAATAATCAGTAAGTTCCCTTCCAACCCAAACCATCCTGGGATTCTGTGATTCTAAGCTGTGCTATGAAAGTGTGTGAATGTGCCTTAAAAAGAACTCCAAGCTCCATCCCCTCCATGGCTTGCTCCCCTACATGTATGTCCTATATTCAAAGCAAAACAAATATTGCAGCTTAAGGCTAGGCAAAGCAACCTGTGAGGAGGACAGGAGTGTGACAGGAGTGCCCTTGGGTTTGTTTTGCAGCTGGATCTGCAGTGGGTGCAGGTGCTGAGCGAAGGCTGGGCCACCCCGCTGACCGGCTTCATGCGTGAGGCAGAGTACCTGCAAGTCATCCACTTTGGCACCCTGCTGAATGGTATGGACCCCCACTCCCTGCAGGAGTGCTGCCATGGGATGCTCCTCCTGGAGTGTCCTGGCAGGTAGCCCTATGGAACAACATCATGCTTGGCTGTGTCCTCCTTTCCTCTCATGTTTGACGTGGTGGGTCGTGAAGGTGACAGATTTCCCTGTGCTGTGGCCAGAGCCCTACACACTTGGGAACAAAGTCACAGCTTTGACTTCTTCATGGTGCTGGTCAAGCATTTCAGGAGTTGTTGTGTAGCTCTTTTCATGCTTGGTTGTACCAGGTGTTGTGGTTTAACCCCAGGCAGCAGCCAAGCCCTACGCTCCCCACCAGTGGGATGGGGGAGAGAATAGAAAAGATAAAAGCTAGATACTCATGGGTTGAGATAAAGATGTTTATAGGGAAAGCAAAATCTGCACACAAGCAAAGCAAAACAAGGAATTCATTCCCTGCTTCCCATGGGCAGGAGGTGTTTATCCATCTCCAGGAGAGTAGAGCCCCAGCATGTATCATGGTCACTTGGGAAGACAAACGCCATCACTCCAAACATCCTCCTTCTTCCCCCATATTATATTATGAGCCTGATGTGATATGGTCTGGAACATCCCTTTGGTCCGTTTGGGTCACCTGACTCAGCTATGTCTCTCCCAATGTCCCCTGCACCCACAACTTCCCCACCAGTGTGACAGTACAAGAAGCAGCAAAGGCCTTGGCTCTGTGTAACTGCTCAGCAATAACAAACACATTTCTGTATCATCAATCGTGTGCTCAGCACAAATCCAAATCACAGCCCCATATTAGCTACTGTGAAGAAAGGTAACTCTTCTCCAGGCCAAACCAGCACACCAGGAGGGTGAATAGAGATGCCAACCCAAAGCCAAGTAAGCAGGGAGGCTGCCAGGCTGCGTTTGAGGTGGGAGGACTAGTAGCTATTCCTTGCAAATGGGAACAGAGCCTGATTCTGCTCCCCTTCCCTGTTTTCCTGCTTATCCAATACTTGCAAGAAATCAGACTTCTCTACCCATGTTACAGCTACTTCATCCGTGGCAAAGGCATTGCTCAGGTGATGCTCACCCACAGCTGAGCCTGAGACAGAGATGCTTCCAGCCTGTTCCTCAGCCCTAGGTGCTATTACTCTTCCTTTACCTGCACACAGGGCACTCACTTTGGTGTTTGTACACCTCATAGTGATCTCTGCCCTCAGGGATTTGGGATCTTGGTGAGCTTGAGGTCCCTTTGAGCCTTGCCTTCCTGCTAGAAGATCCCATGGTCACACAGGACAGTGACTCACTGCTCTTACTGGGATTTGGGCACTGTGCAACAGAAGCAAAGCTCAGGACAGCTCACTTTGGACTGGAGGAGTGTCTGTGTGGGGCCTTCTGCTTTCAGACATGCTGTAGCCTTTTACCTCCTGCCTGGTGTGCAAACAGTGTTCAGAAGTCCTTCTTATCAGAGCCTGGTCTGTGGTCTTTGAGCTGCCTGTTGTGCCTGACAAGGTTGCAGAGGTGCCCTGTAATGACCACGTTGCTCCAGAGCTCTGTACTTTGTGCTGGAGGCTCATCTTAGAGAGCACCTGTTTTTAGGGTGCCCTCCCCAACCCTGCCAGCATCACTGAACACAGCTCCTCTGAGGTCTGTGGGCATATGGATCTAATGGTTGGACTCGATGATCTTAGAGGTTTCCTCCAACCCTGATGATTCTATGATATGCTCAGGATTTGTAGAGCTCCATGAGGTCAGGGTCAAAGCCCAGGTCAGCAGCTTTTGAGGGGGGGCTGAACTCTCTAGAGAGTCTCAGAGTCTTTGTAGTAGAGGCCATCAACATCAGTCCCTGGCCCACCTTGTCTCCATGGAGGTTTCCAAACTCAACATCTGCATGGTCAGGCCCTCAGGGTGACATCTGGTTGGGAAGGAGAACATCCCAGGTATTTTTGGTGTCTGTAATGTGCTCCTGAGTGTTAATTATCTTAATTGTGTTTGTGTCCTCCCAGGAAAGAATGGCTCAGTAGCTGGTATGTATGGAACTACTCTTAGGTTGTATACAAATTACTTCAATTGAGATTTTTGGTTATTATTCTTTGAGATTTGCAAGAAAAAAAAAAGGAAATTATTAAGCCTGGACACAACCGTGGCCTGTTTATGATGCAGTGGCATCACACAGTGTCCTACCAACCAGTCAGCACAAAATTCCCAGTGGTGTCATTTTGGAATCAAATCACTGCAGTGATTTTTTTGTTACCTCTCCATCTGCATTTGGAAATGGAGCCTGAAGATCCTCACTTTCAGCATCATTTGTTGGTTTCATAATCCATTTTTCTTGCCCCATGCTGACTTCATTGACTGATCGGTGCTAATGTGATTTAAATGTCTGGATGGAGTTGCTATTGATTGGATCCCATGTGACTACAGTTATGATTACTGATGCAAATTGCTGCCTGGCAGAGAAATGATACCTAGTGTTGAATGAAAAGGAAATGCAAATATTGTAATAAAGCTTCAAATAAAAATCTACAGCATAGGCAAAATCCTCAAATTAAGACCTCAAGGGTCCAAAATGATTGAAGTCAGATCAGAACAAATTGAGTCAGTGATTTGTTTGTGGATGGAAACCCGTGGGAGGGACTGAGTCTTCTGTTTAACACTGGGATATCCAAGGGAGAACCTTAGTGGAGAACTAGGAAATTGGGATAAAACCAACATGATTTCAAGGGATTTGAGGACAACACTGAAAGGGTGTTCAGGCACTGGAATATTGCCCAGGGAGGTGATGGAGTCACCATCCTTGGAGGTGTTGAAGAGGCATCTGGATCTGGTGCTGGAGGATATAGTTTAGGGTTTAGGGGTTCCAGCAGTGACAGGTTAATGGTTGGACTTGATGACTTTAGAGGTCTCTTCCAACCCTGATGATTCCATGATTCTAAATTAGGAGCTGCGTGTACAAATACAAACGTGCTGCATAACCACAGAAAATGGATTAAAAATGGACAGTGCAGAGATATAAAGGAGGAGGAGAAGCAGTATAGAGATATCCAGAAAGAAAACCAAAGAAACCAAGGGTGGTGGTGTCTTCCCTGTTGGAAGAGGCAGTTTAGGAGGTGTTCATAAAACACCATACTGGAGCTGTCTCAGCAGGGGTAGTTCTCCTGAGGGACAATGCAGGGGTTATATCCAGGGTTGCATTTTCCAAAGACATCCAACTTTTTCAACTTTATGACAGAGAAGAACCAGTCTTTCCAGGGAGAGAGACAGTGCAGGGAGTAATGAGATGCTCCAGGTGTCTTGGACAAAGCTCTTAAGATAAGGAGCTTTCATAGTCCATTAATATCACTGTTTCGTAGGAGTGCAGAAACAAAACAATTCAATGACAAAACTGACATGAGAACCTCTAGTGGGTTCCCAACAGCAGTGCTTGAGGCTGGAGGACTTTAACTTCTGCTCATCTCTTGACAGATGGTGTGGTGAACCTGAGCATCCCCATTGTGCTGCCGGTGTCCACGGAGGACAAGCAGCGGCTGGAGGGCTGCGAGGCGCTGGCGCTCAGCTACGAGGGGCGCAGGGTGGCTGTCCTGAGGCACCCTGAGTTCTACCAGCACAGGAAGGAGGAGCGTTGTGCCCGTGTCTGGGGCACCACCTGCCCTAAGCACCCACACATCCAGGTAGGTTTGGCTGCTCACTGTTCCAGGAAGCCTGGTCAAGGTGACAAGTGTGGGCAAGGGGCTGGAGAACCAAACCTTTCAAAGGTTTTGAGGGCCATGGGTGTCCTATCTTCAACCCAGCTCCTGGCTAGAAACCACTACATCCCAAGAAAATTTTTAGGCTCAGGAGTTAACGCTCCTCAATAAGGTTCTTCATTCAACCACTGAGGATGTTTGGTTGCTGGAAGAGCTCCCCAGGGTGGTGGTCATGGCTCCAAGCCTGACAGAGCTCAAGGAGTGTTTGGACAATGCTCTCAGCCACAGAGTGGATTGCTGGGGATGTCCTGTGCAGGGTCAGGGGTTGGACTGGATGGTCCTTATGGGTCCCTTCCAACCCTGAATACTCTGTGATTCTATGCATTTGGCTGTTCCATACAAGCAGACAACAAGGGGGTTATATTCTTACAGCTCCTCTCTTCCCACTTACTCTCTAGCAGTACAAGGAACATCATCCCTCAGAAAGGGAGAGCTCCAGGTTCCACCCAGGGACTTGAGCTGTCAAAATTTGTGACTTTGCTTAAAAAGGCCTAAACTGTGTTAATTCTTTCCCCCTCCCTTAAACTAAGAGATCCCTTAAAATCCCTCTTTTAATTACTCAGCATGCAGGTGTTCACCTTGCAACAGGCTTATTCCTCCTGAGGAAAGATCAAAGAGTGAGGTGGAGGAAGGTCTTGTGCCACAACTTGTGGACTCCTGGCTGCCAGAGAGGAGTCCAGCACCCAGCTGGGTGCAGTGGTGGGATCTGGATGGCTGATGCCTCTGGGGATGTGCTGCTCATGACCTTCAGTTCATGTGGGCACTGTAATGATGTTTTCCACCTTCAAAGGAGAAGGTCATCCTACAAGTGGGGTTGAGCCTAACATTTTTCAGAGCAGACTGGGAAAGGGAAAAGGAGGTACTTGCTGTCCCCTCTGCAATGCATATGTGTAATTCTCAGATGGTGCTGGAGAGTGGAGACTGGCTGGTTGGTGGAGACCTCCATGTCCTGGAGAAGATCAAATGGAATGATGGGCTGGACCAGTACCGCCTGACACCGCTGGCTCTCAAGCAGAAGTTCAGAGAGATGAATGCTGGTGAGTTCCCCAGGTTAGCTCTTCATGCTCCACCTGGCACTAGGAGGTTGGTGTGATCAATGATTACTTGCTAACCCTAACCCTAACTCTAACACTAACCCTAACCCTAAGCTCACAGCACTTGGCTGGTTGCTCTGGATACTCCCAAAATGGGACTGTTTGGGTGGGGTGAGCAATAAGAGGGATGTCAAGAGAAGTGGTACAGGGTCTCCTTGGCTAAGGATGGTGCATGTGATGGGCTGTGCCCTCAGTGAGCTGCTCTGGGGGCTGGAAAGTACTGAGTATCCTGCTTGTGTCCTCCCTGACAGGTCAGTCTCTCTCTCAACATGGTTGGCCTTCACACATGGTGGATAGCTCAGGTGTCTTCTCCCAGGTTTCTATCCCATAGAATCACAAAATGGGTTGGGTTGGGATGGACCTTAAAGCTCATCTAATTCCACCCCCTGCCATGGGCAGGGACACCTTCCACTAGCCCAAGATGCTCCAAGCCCCATCCAACCTGGTCCCAGCAGTCTGGCAGGTGTCAGGCACTTACCCTCACTTTGGGGAGAGAGCATTTGCCTTCCTGAAGGTGCCATTTGGCTCGGGGAAGTGGCAAGTCACTTAAGAAGTTGGAGAACTTGTTGGAGGTGTCCTGTGGCTTGTAAAAGAGCTGATAGGATTGAAATCAGCCCCAAAGGAAGGATGTGCAACAAAAATAGACTCAACAGAGAGCTGCAGAGGCATGAAACACTCAGCTGAGGTATTCGTGGTTCATGTGGACACAGGACACACATCTTACCCTATACTTCTCTCATGACTGCATGGAACACAGACTGTGTGGACCACATGACTTGTGTGGCAATGCCCAGCACGGAAAAGAAGCCCCAGGGCCTGGGGGTCAGCACAGGCCTGTGACCCTCTGCACCTTTCCCTTCCAGATGCTGTCTTTGCGTTCCAGCTGCGCAACCCTGTGCACAATGGGCACGCCCTGCTCATGCAGGACACCCGGCGCCAGCTCCTGGCCAGGGGCTACAAGAACCCTGTGCTCCTCCTGCACCCCCTGGGGGGATGGACCAAAGATGATGATGTCCCTCTGGAGTGGAGGATGAAGCAGCACGCGGCCGTGCTGGAGGAGCAAGTGCTGGACCCCAAGTCGACCATTGTGGCCATCTTCCCCTCGCCCATGCTCTATGCTGGTCCCACAGAGGTAACGTAGCCGTTGGCTACTATGTGTCTTGGCCACACTAGGACAAGGTGTGAAGCCTGTTCAGAGAGGTTCTGCTGCCAGTCTGCCTGTGCAGCTTCAGAAAGCCCCAGGAAACAGAGTCATAGCCATTGCCTCGCAGTTAGCTCCCTTCATGCTTCACCTGCAGCTTGCTCCATGGGCTCCCATGCTTTTACAGGCTAGAGAGAAGGGCTAGAAACAGACTACATAGCTGTGACTTTTCTCTGTTGGGCAGGGATGTTTGTTTGTTTCCTCCCAGTGGTTTCCCTTCTGTCCCTAAATAGGGGATGAAAGGGATAGATGCTGAACATTCTCTGAGGGAGGGAGGGGAGGGATGTGTGGGCAGCCTTTGCATGTGCTGGGGAGCACCATCTCTGCATGGTCAAAAATCAAACTGACCTCCATGTGCTGCCAAATGGCTGAGGGAGTTGGGCTTGGTTAGCCTGGAGAAGAGGCTCAGGGGTGACCTCATGGCTCTCTGCAACTCCCTGACAGGGCTTGGAGAGAGGTGGGGGATGGTCTGTCCTGCCATGGCTGCAGGGAGAGGACTAGACGGCATGGGCTTGAGCTGGGACAGGGCAGAGTCAGAGGAGATGTTAGGAGAAATGTTTTTCCTGTGAGGGTGTTGAGGCCCTGGAATATTGCCCAGGGAGGTGGTGGAATCACCATCCCTGAAGATGTTTAAGAGGTGTCTGGATCTGGTTCTGGAGGAAATAGTTTAGGGTTTCCAGCAGTGGCAGGTTAATGGTTGGATTTGATGATCTCCTCCAGCCTTCATGATTCTATTCTGGGCAGCCCGAGCACTATGAAAAACAACAGTAGGTCTGCTGACACATCTCCCTTCCTCCTTCCCTCCTTCCTTCTCCACCACCTCTTTCATAGCCCAGGGCAGTGAGCCCCATGGCTGTGAGCCCTTAGGCAGTGCTCCTTGTGTCCCTCCTGTGCAGGTGCAGTGGCACTGCCGAGCTCGCATGATCGCGGGGGCCAACTTCTACATCGTGGGCCGCGACCCGGCGGGCATGCCCCACCCCGACACCAAGCAGGACCTCTACGAGCCTACCCACGGGGGCAAGGTCCTCAGCATGGCTCCAGGCCTCACCTCAGTGGAGATCATCCCCTTCAGGGTGGCTGCATACAACAAACAGAAAAGAGCCATGGATTTTTATGACCCAAAAAGGTAACGTGGCAGGGGCATCGATGTTCCATCAGCCTACACAGCACAGGGTGTTTGTGGTCACCTCTGGCTCTGCAGCTTGTCAGGGCTGAGGGAGAAGCTGTTGGTGTTCCTCTTAAGGAGAGGAACGGGGGAGAACCTGGGAGAGCCACCTGCAATCCTCTCCAAGAGCTGGCACCAGGTCAAGCATGGAAGTAAGGATGCCAGGAGGGAGGATAAGCAGCACAGTTTGGGGACTGTGTGGCAGTAGAATACAGCCTCTTGCAGCTGGGGAACTGTGTCAGGGACAGCTCCAGCTCCTCTCGGATGAGGAACCCTCAGGGGGTGGCTCAGACCAGCTGTGCTGATGTCACCTGTCTCTGTTCTGCACAGGCCCGGGGATTTTGACTTCATCTCAGGAACACGCATGAGGAAGCTTGCTCGGGAAGGGGAAAACCCACCGGATGGCTTCATGGCCCCCAAAGCCTGGAAAGTCCTCACCGCATACTACCAGTCACTGGAAAAAAAGAATTAACGTCCTCCTCCTCCCTAGAAATCCTTGTATTAAGAGTGAGCAATGATTGATTGATTCCCTAGGACACAGATCACTTCCTTGGCATTTCCAGTGCTCTGACCGTGGGATTTCCCTGCCTGGGTCAGAGTGGTTTTTACTAATCAGAGATACTTTGAGCCTGATCCCTTTGAAGCTGCTGGGAGTGTCCCCAGTGGAGTGGAGCTGGAAGGGAAGGGGCAGCACACCTTTCATTCCCAGCTGAGCATGGCAGCAGGAAGCCCAGCACAGCCTCTGGACAAGCCACCCAGATCCTTCTGGTAACTGCCAGGGCCATGCACCAGCTCCCAGTGCAGAGATGGGACCTCAGGATAAATCCTGCCTGTGACCTGCATGGGGTAGAAATGAAGAAGTGCCTTTCCAGTTCCCCTGAAGAGGCAGGAGCAGGTGCTGAAGAGAGGAGTGGATGCTGCTGCCAGGGTGGGAGAGGGAAACAGGCACACAGTGCTTGGATCTAGTCCCTGCCCTCCACGTTGTGCCTTAGACAAATCTTGCTAATAAATAGCAGAATCTTTTTAATGCCCTTTTAAAACAGGATTGTTTAAAATCAGCCTTGACCACCAGCAGTTCCTTGTGGCTGAGCCAATTGCTCATTGTTCTTGCTTGTTTCCTCCTACTTGACCTCACCCAGGCTGAGTGTTCCTGGTGCTCCGTGTTCAGCTCTCTGTGGGGACTATGCCGTGGTGATCTCTGTGCTCACACCCTGACAGGCCCATGGGCAGGGGAATATGTCCTGGGAGGCAATGTACAGCCCTGAGATCTCTGAGAAAGCTCTGGGCATCGAGCAAGAACTGGGGATGTTATGTGCTTTTGGGTATCCTCCCACGTGGCAGGATCGGATCCCCCTCTCCTTTGCCCGCACTCCTCCCATCCAAAGGGCAAATCAAATGCAGAACAGCAAAGTCACAGTGTGAGGTGGGTGTGAGCAGCTGTACCTGGTAAAGCAGGTGAGAAGAGGCTGCAGTGCTTGTCCTCATCCATACCTGCAGCCCTGTATGCCAGTCTGTGAGATGTCTGTGAGACATATGGGGTACAGGTGACCTGATTGTCTGGGAGAGGTGATGCTGACTCCAGCCAGGAGGATGGCAGACAAGCCTTTGCGCCGCCCCAGCGCTGTGCCCAGCCGCGAGGAGTGCCCTGTGCTGCTCCCAGCTCTGGCTGCTGGAAAGTTACGGTAGACTTTACCTCCTTCCCTGCCCTCGCCTGACACAGACTTCGCCGCTGGATGTGTGAGGCTTTGCCGCTGTCTCGCGGCTCCCTCGGTGACCTCGGGCGGGACAGAGTGACCCAACCCCGGCGCTTCCTCGGCTGTGTCGCGCCCCGAGGACATCCCACGGCACCCTGCACACCTGGGAGCCCCCGAGCCTGCGCCTCGGGCCCTGCCTGAGGAGCCTGTTCCAGGGCTGACCCCGCAGCCAGCACGGCGCTCTGCTGTGAGACATTCGCTTGCTAGTTACTGCAGCGACCTCAACTCAGGGTTTTTGTACCTGTCCTTCTTTAGCAGCTGCCCCGGGCTGGGAAGGGATGGGTTTCCTGTTTCCAAGGACCAGGAAGCAGCGTTCCCCTCTGTGCTTCAGTTTAAAGGGATCCACACACAGCAAATCCCACCAGCTTCGACTTGTAACACAGGATAGGGAGCTACACTGTGAGCTAAGACCTGTTTCGCTGTGGCCATGGCACAGCATCCGTATGACTGGAAGAATATCCTTGCAAAAAGCCTTTTTGGGTGGTTTTTAGTCATTTTTTAAGTATTCAAAGCAAAGAGCCCAAAGCTGTTATAGCACCTGTAGTAGGAGCTGAGAGCACACCAGCACCAGTGCCTTGTCTGCTCAGGCCCTCTGGCAGGGACCTGGAAGCCAAAAGCAATATTCCTATTTAGGATTTGTAATAACATAAACTAATCCAACCTTGGAAAAACCCTGCAGTAAATCCAGGTGGTTCCAGCAAAACACAGATATTGTCTTATCCTTTTAAGCCAGTCCTGATTACCTCTGATTAAAGTATGTGGACTAGGGAGTTTTATAGTGTATTTATTAAAGACATCAGACTGGAATTTGTACCTCAGCTGATGCGTCTCATGATTTAATATATTCTGAACTCAATACTCTGCTAGGAAACACTCACTTTTAGTACAAATAAATATTTATACATGGAAGCAGCTCTCGCTTGGTAATTTTTTTGGGGGGAAACTGCGTTACAGCTTGGAGCTCAGCACTGCAGACTAGAGCAGCCTCAGCTCATCTGATCCTGGGCTTGAGCTGCCAACGCTGGAGCTGCAGGAGAGGGTCAGGCTCACCACACCTCTGAGGAGAGGCAGGAGCAGAGGGGGAGGATGGACCAAACCACTGAAGTCATGGAATTAAAGCAGCCATTGTTCCTGCATGCCAAACCACGGAGCTTCCCCAGACTCTCCAGCAAGCGGCCGGAGGGTTTGGGCCTTGACAAGGACTCTCAAAGTGGCAGCAAGAATAGACAGGTATGGGAAAGTCCTTGGAAAAATGGAAATGGCACTCCAGCTGCAGACACTGCCCTCAGGGGCCATTGGAATTAACTCCTTGTGCCTCTTCAATCAGCCTCTTAAGCCTGTGGTGATGCATAACAGGCATGAGGTAAAGAGAAGCTCCAGCCTGCGAGCCAAGAGCCAGGAATTTAGAGAAGCAGGCAGGAGAGCAGAGCTCAGCCAGTGACCAGAGGCTGCCCCTGGCACCTGCCAGTAGCCCAGGGCTTGTTCCCACTCCTTGCCCTCAGTGTGACATTAAACCTCCCTTGAGGTTACACTTTACACTCAATTAAAATCAATTAAGAGCAGCTTGCAGTAGGGCTTTACCCAGTTGGAAGCAGCCTGGAAATAGGCAGGAGGTGCAGGAGAAGCTTCATTACCACCCACCCTGGAATTTCTCAAGTATAACAACCCCTGGGAGGCCTGGAGAGGTCAGAGGGAGAAGCAGGCACTGACCACACAGAACAGCTGGAGAGCTTCACCTGGCACAGGAGTCATTCCAACCTCCTGAGAAATCAGCTTCTAGTGAGTAGCACTATCTGCAGGGTTAATTTCAGGGTTACTCTTAGACTCAGAGTGGTTTGGGTTGGAAAGGACCTTAAAGAGTATCTTGTTACAAGTCCCTGCCATGGACATGGATATCTGTCACTAGCCCAGGTTGCTCCAAGCCCCATCCAACCTGGCCTGGAACACTTCCAGGGTTGGGGCAGCCACAGCTGCTCTGCGCAACCTATGCCCTCAGCACCCCACCCTCACAGGAAAGAATTCCTTCCCAATACCCAATCTATCCCTGCCCTCTGGCAGTGTGAAGCCATTCCCCCTTGTCACTCCAGACCCTTGTCAATAGTCTCTCATCATCTTTCTTTCGGGTTTCAGCTGCTAGAAGTCCCACCAGCCCTGAGACCATGTGATGGAGGGCTCCAGCCCTCTTTATTTCACTTTATTTCCCTTTGCAGTGCAGTTGGGTTTACATCATTCCCTGCTCCCAGTGCTTCCCTCCCCTTGGAGCCAGCAGTGGTGACACAGCATCCCAGCCAGGGGTTGGAACAATTCCCTTTACAGATTGGTGTGGAATTAGTGCACAATTCATGACATTACATAAAGAAAAATTCAAGTTCTTGAGTATCTCTGACAATAACTTTACCCAAACACTTTTGCCACTGACATTTGTCACCCTTTTCTCCTTTATAACAACAGAATGGTACAGGAACTCACCAGAACTGTTACCAGCAAGGACAGCACAAGGCTAAATCACATTTAGAAGCCTCAACCCCATTCCCTCCTCTCCAATTCCACAGATCCCAGCATGTGACAGAGCCAAACATCACACAACACCCCCCCCGCCCCAGAGCTCCGACATTCCGTGGTGCAGTGCCACAGAGGAGCTTCCAGAGAAGACTGAGCTAGCAGCAAGCCCTTGGTACAATGCAGAAGAGCTCAGAAAGCTACAGCTTCAGAGAGCTGAGATGTGAGGCTGTAGGAAAGACCAGGTAAGATTCTACTCTAACTGCTCACAGCAAGGGCAAACCAAAGCTAACCCCAGCACTGATTGAAAAAGCCTCTGGAAGCAGAATTCATACGAAATTAAAAGTATTCAAACAGTTTTTACATAGCACTTTGCTATCTTTGACTAATGGCACCAGATTTCAAGTGGTCAAGTGAGAGAAAAAAACCAGTGACATGTCCAATTTTGCTTTGTTCTAGAAGCAGTTTCTACCTTGGTATTTGCAGCTAGAAGGAAGAAGTAAATGTGAACCAAGCATTGAGGAATCTTTAAGCTATACATCTTCTCTTTTGGTTTGCTTCAGGAAGTAGAAAAGATTTTCCATACTCAAGTTATCTACAGATTATGTCTCTCTATAAAAAAAAAGTGTGGAGATATATACATTTCATCCATACACACACACTCCCTATGTATATACACAGCCTGGGGAAGGGTTGGGTCCCCCCAATCCCAGTGCCCCCAGGCACCACCTCACAGCTGCTGGGAGGCTCCTCAGGGTCTCAGGGAGGGACAACACACAGGCAGTTGCTCTTGGTCTGGGCTAAATTGTTCCACTCATGATCTCCTCTTGCACTTCCAGTTGCAATTTCAATAACTTAGAAGTTGTTGTATAAAAACGATGCCGGAACTTCCTTGCTGAAGGAACATCTCCACTCCCACCCCCCTGGCGTTGTTGGTGCTAAGTGATTACAGAAGTCAAAGGAAATCACAGCAGGAACTGCAAACACACTCTCTTGTCTTAGTCAAACACAATCTCCATGGCAAGGTTCTGCATGGACACATCCTTGGATCTCCTCATCTTCTCAATGGCCCTGTGGAGGTCCTGCTGCTGCACAGGTCTGATCTCATCTTCATCATGGCTGTGAGAGAGAGGGAAAACAGCAAGGAATGATTCAGGTGCTGTATCACAGCTGTTCCAGCAGTGAGAAGCAACCACTGGACACAGCAGCTCTGACATGG